CATCCGTTCTGGTCGTCAGCCATATATATCTGAACGGAAAAGAGATAATCGCCAGAACACTGTCCCTCCACTATATAACCACATGTAATGAAAATAATATTTCCTGTAAATAAGAAAATCATTGAATCAAATATTTTAATAATAAATCTAATAAGAGATGAAATTGTGACCAACCATTGAGTATACCGGAGACAACCGTAAATTCATTGATCTTCAAGTGTTCGGTTTGATTGGAAACGACCGCATAATACAAGTACTGTTCGTTAGAAAATGTAAATCCATTGCAAGTCTTATTCCCAACGGTTTCCACGTTTTCGTATATATTCTCAAACTTTGAATTGGTTTTGCACTTTAAAATTGAATTATAAATGGTCTGCGTTTCCACTATCGGTGTTACGGCTTTATGTTTGCACATTATATTAATAGTTATTAATTGTATTATTAATGTATAACTTATTCTGATATCTAATTAGGATAAGAACTTACGAATATTCTGCACATTCTTTGCGTTAGGAATAGTCTTATGAATATTCTTGGCATTGATTGTAAACTCGGCGGATGTAATAATAATTTGCAAAAATACATTTAATAACAATATAAGCATCATATTTAAACTTATTTAGTTGAGATCTCCTCCAAACTAAAAGTTATTATGTCTGTAATTACAAACACTTAAAAATAATTGAAAGTCTAAAACATTTGAAAAAGGTTTTTTCAACTTATCATTTAAAATGTTGTTTATACTGTATTTTACTATTTCAGCTGTTGTGAAAAATTCACTCCAGACTTACTAATGATTTAAAAAAATTATATGATAAAAATTATATTTTTAATTTTAAAACTTATAAATTAATGATATTTATCATATAAGTTATTTTATTAAATTATGCAAATTAGATTAATTAATAAATAATTAAAAATATTGTTTCATTTAAATCTAAAATGATTGTCTTCACTGCCAATTATGCATTATTATTGCAATGATTTTTGTTATGAATTGAAATGAGTTGAGTCTTTTCATTGACAACATTCTTATAGTCACTCAACGCTTCTGTGTCTTCAAATGTCTCAGGAAGTGGTCTGTTATAAGTTTCGGGTAAATTCGTTGATAACACACAACATATCAGCGCTAATACTCCACAGAATATCAGCGGAACCTTATCTCCAAAGAATGTCTGTTAAAAATAATAAAAACTTGTGAATAAAAATAAATAACTCGTTAAAAACAATATTAATTACCAGTTCTATAAGATGTGGTGCAATAATACCACCGATTCTGGAAAACATTTGACACAAACCGATTCCAGTACTTCGGACTACAGTCGGGAATATCTCCGCCGAATAGATATACATTAGTG